AAAGAGTTATCGTTTCTGAAACCAGCAGGTCAGTTCTACCCTGTCCTGCAGGGTCACGGTGGCAGTGGGAGGAGGAGGAAACCCCCAACAAAGGTCTTCTTTGTCAACTCCTGTCATACCATGCATTTTGTTGCTCTCCTCAAAATCATCAGTGTGCTTAAAATGCCGTGGATCCTTGTTGAGGTATTTCTTTATATTGTCATCCAGATACCAGGATTCATTCTCATTAAATACCAGAAACAAGAGAGCAAATTCATAATCCACGTCCGTTCTCCTTCCCTTTTCATTCAGCACGCCTTCTCTGCACGTGATCAGAGGGCCCATCAAACCGCTGTATGTGTCCTGAAAGGAAAACACATCGCCTTAGGAGCGCCTTTCCATCATTTGTCACAGAGACCACGTGTTTGTGAGATGGTTACGGTAAAGAGACGGTTGTCTGTGAAATCCGGACGAGTCAAGGTGGCGGCTATGAAAATTTAGTAAAGTACCTGGACTCTTTACTCAGGTTGTACCCCGAGTCCACTCACAGATGACCCTCGCTTCATACTTGCTGAATAAGTGAAGGCTTGATTCTGTTTCTGTTTGCTTTTCAAGGGAAACAATATTTAGAACTCCATTTAGATGTGTCTACTCTACTTTCTGTGGGTTATTAGTAAATAACATGGGTTCTTGGGTCACCTCCAAGCCACGTCATTCAGTCATAAGTTCTCCTTTGAGGGCAAACATCCACTTTCACCACTTCCGACTTGGGTATTCTATTTGAATATGCTTCCTGCAATAATATGGACTACTAAGTACGTACCTCTGTCTAAACCGGAATTTATTATTTTCCTCAACTCCATTTCCTCTTCTTGAATTCTCTGTTCCTTCTGACAGCACAATGATATGCCTCGCCAGTTGGGTCAGAACACGTGGGCTGAATCTTTATTTGTTCTTTCTTCCCAGCTCTTCCATCCAGTGTTCTGTCGTGTTGTCTCTCCACTGCCTCGCTCCTCTTCACCATGCCTCCCCACTCTGAATTCCTTCTTAGACCCCTTTCCAGCGCCGCCTAGAGGATCCTGGCCAACTCACCATGCCCATGGTCCTCAACCAGGTTCAGAGTTGTATTACATTTTGGGGTTTGGACATGCATGAGTTTCTCTTCAAAGTTACAAATGCTCTTAAGATAAGACTATCAGTGATCGTCATAGGACTTGGTAGGGTCATTCGCACATCCTAAGTGGGCAATCACTCTTTGTTTGGATGGATTCCAAAATGTACAGTTTTTAAGTCTTTTTCTTCAAGTATCTTGTACATCTAATTCCTGAATTCTAACAGTATCCAGTACAACTCAAGGACCTTAATGCAGGCGATCTAATATATTTGTAGAAGTACAAGGTAATCCTTCACTTTGTTATAATTGTCAATATTTATATTGTCTATCAGATGAGACTTTGGTTTGGACTTTGGTTTATGCTCTATCATTAGAGTCTGTAGTTGTTTTACATATCTAATGTAAACTCAACATTATCTTTGCCTTTTCTTTCTAAGTGAACCTCGCCTATTTGTCATTCGAATAGCTTTGTAAACTTGCTTATTATAGTTAGTGTGTGCTTTCTTTCCCTAAGTCCCAGTAGCAGTGGGGCATATCTTTAAAATGAATAGATTTCACACATCTAAAGCCATAGTATAAATTATATTCAAAGATATTTTGTCTACTTATAGACCCTCTTTTGCTTCAAATTCCTTTGCACAATCTAAATTTGGTCACTGAAATCTTGAGGTTTTATTTTTTGCCCAAGGTACTTTAAATTAAGGGTCAGCAAGAGGCCAGAGAGAAAATATTGTCTGAAGAAGCCAGATGGTAAATATTTAGACTCTGCCACCACTGACAGTGTAAAGGAGAGGCAGGGCTGGATCAGGCTGGCGAGAGTTTGAGACCCTTGTTGTTCATTGTTACACCCCCTGGTGTGTACCCAACCCAGTCAACTTAAAACCATCTTCCTGTAAGCATTCTGTTTGTTCTTCCCAGTTTACCTTCATGAAGTTTACTGTTGAGTAATAAACCCATGGAATACAATTTGGGTCCGAGGGCCCAGGGCCTGACCTTTTGGGGATATCCCATCTGTAAGTTTTTATTTCTCCTGAAATAGATGAGAGAAAATAGAAAGAATTAATTAGTGTCACCTCTCTTGCTGTACATAGGCCAAGAGACAGTCATTAGAATGAACAAGGGAATTCTACATGGTTTACAATCAAGAAAGATGCGTGTCCAGGTTGAATCCTTTCACCGTGCGTATTCAATCTGTGTGCTGAGTCAATAATCTTAGAAACTGGACTATATGATGACAAACTCAGTATCAAGATGAGAGGATACACAGAGGAAGTAATCGTGCTTGCTAAAAACCAAACTCACGTTCCAGACTAAGAAGAAACTACTAAGAATGGATCAGTTGCCACTCCAGGCCCTGAGCCTCACTTCCAGGCCCCTCCCTCCAGGAGTCCCTCACTACCTCCAGGCCCTGCCCCTTCGGAAAGACCCCACCTCAACCCAAGTGATGCAGTTTTCTGCCGAACCCACTCCTGAGTGTCCCAGGAGGAAATGAACCAGCCCAAACAGATGCCATCAAACCCACACCAGCTCCTGGAGACTCCATGTGTGTCGGAGCACAGCGATGTTGCACGGGCGTTTCCCTGACTGGTTTCTCAAAGTGCACCACCCAGGCTTTCTTCCCTGGAGACCCTGAGTAGACACAAACTTCCAATCTTTCCAAGAACACCTGTCCATGGTAACCATTTGTAATGCTCAGGGACATCACAACCGAAGCAAGGCACCCATGCTTTGAAAAGCCAGATACTTTTTAAAGTGGGAAATCTTTCAGAGAAGGAAAACTCAAAAGAATAAAATGAGGTTGAGTTTCTGACTATAATATGAGAAACCACACAGTTGAATTTGTAAAATTTGCAAGTCCCAGAAAAATAAAGTCATTTTGTTAAAAAAAACAAACAAACCACTCACTGCCATTGAGACATTTCCTATTCAGAGTGACTCTACGGGACAGGGTGGGGCTGCCCTTGTGGGTTCCTGGGACGGCAACTCTCTGTAAGAATAGAAAGCCTCATCTTTCCCCTGTGGAGCGGCTGGGGTTTCAGAATGCTGACCAACAAGTAACTAACTCACCACACCACCAGGGCTGCTTGCTGAGAACGAAGAGGACTCGAAGCACTTATTGAGGAAAATAAAGCTATAGCCTTCAGTATGGATTGCAACTCGATGTGAAAAAGCACATAAAAATCCTCACAATTGAACCAATAAACATTATGACAAACAGAAAAGACTGACACTGTCGAGGATTTCATTTTACTTGGGTCCATAATCAAATACTCATGGAGGGAGCAGCTAAGAAATACAATGATGTGTGGCATTGGGCAAGTCTGCTGCACGAGATCTCTGTAAGTGTTACAAAGCAAAGATGTCACTATGCGGACTAAGGTGAGTGTGCCCCGTGCCATAGTCTTTCCCATCCCCTCATATCCATGTGCAACGGAATAATGAATAAGATACACCGGAGAAGAGCTGATAGAGCTTAACTCTGGTATTGGCGGGAACATGAAAAGTGTCATGGACTGTCAGAGAACAAACAAACAAAGAAACAAATCTGCGGTAGAAGAAGTACAACCATGACGCTCCTTAGAAGCGAGGACGGTAAGACTTCATCTCATGTACTTCGGACACGGTATCAGGAGAGACCCATCCTTGGACAAGAACATCATGCTTGGTAAAGAAGAGTCCGTGAAGAAGAGGAAGACCCTCCAGGAGATGGATTGCCACCGTGGCTGCAACAATGGTCTCGGCAGGACCACAGGTTGTAGGGACGATGGGGGACGGGCAGCATTCCATTTCGTTGTACGGAGGGTCACGAAGAATAGAACAGACTAGATGTCACCTAGCAGCAGACTCCTGGCTAGGGACCTTGGAGCCACTAGCACCGCATTGCTTGTCTGCTGCCTGAAGGCTGGTGACTGAATACTCTGGGCAACAATGGGCTCCAACCTAAGAGCCCTTAAGAGGATGCTGCACCACCGGGCACCATTTTCTCTGTTGTATACGGGTTGGTCGCTATGGGTCTGAGCCAATTTACAGAGCCCTGGTGGCATAATGGTAACGAGCTGGGCAGCTAACGTCGAAGTCGACGATTCAAAACTACCAACTGCTCCTCAGCAGAAAGATGAGGCTTTGTACTCCTGTAAAAAGTTACGGTCTCAAAAACTCACAGGGATGGTTCTACCCTACCCTAAAGGGTCGCTGTAGTCGGCACTGACTCGGTGGCAGCAATGAGTTGGGTTTCTTTTATTTGACAACACTACGGTTCTAGATTGTTTTTATGAAACAACACAAACCGGTCTCTAGCTCTTCTGGTCAGTGTTTCTTGTTATGAGAATTGCTCGTTCACTAGAAATGTCCCCATTAAACACACGCCCTGATTTTATACAGCTTCACAGGGGCGGATTTCCCCACTGCAGACTCCGTCCTGCCTTCTTTTGAGCTGTGAGGTGCCATCGAGTTGACTTCCCCTCAGCTAACCCCCTGTGTCGGAGGAGACCTGCCCTATGGAGGTTCCTAGGCTGTGATATTTACAGGGCTTTCTCCTACGGTTTGTTCTTTACTGTTATCAACGGATGTGCACCCAGACGATGAGGGTTTTAGCTTCTAGCTCACCACTTTCTCCTCACCCTTTATTTCCTCTTCTCCCACTATCCTTGAGCACACGGGCTTTACCACCACGGCTCTCCGCCGTGACTTCTGATTGGAATCACCAGGGAGCCTTGAAAACTCTCACGGGTTCTTTTTATCAGAGTCAGACCCAGTCCCTGAAGACAATCTAGAAAGTATGAAAACCACGCAGTATAAAAGTGTGTCACCCTAACTACCACCCAGAAGATAGAACGATGATTAACACTCTGGCTTATTTCCTTCTGGATTTTTTCTTTTTTTTGGTTTTGTTTTTTTTCAAGACAACATTTCATTTATTTTTCATTAGAAATAAATATTTCACAATATATAATTACATTTTGATTTTGTTTTTGTGATTATTCTTATGTTCAAATGGTAACAATGAAAATGCATCCTGCCTACCACATATGTACGTGATGATTCATAACAGTAGCAAAATTACAGTGATGAAGTAGCAACGAAAATAATTTCATGGTTGGGGGGGTCACCAACACATGAGGAACTGTATGAAAGGTTAGGAAGGTCGGGGGCTGCAGCAGGCTGAGTCCCACGATGGATGGTGTGATGCTGCCCCCGGGTGGCCATAATCGGGACGTGCCAGCCAGGATCCCTGAATTACCAGCTAGGTTTTTCAGAAGTAGATGCAGAGACCTCTCTTTCTTCCAAGGCATCTCGGAGGGGCCTTGAACCTCCAACCTTTAGTTTAGCAGCCACGCGCTTCTGGATTTTTTCTACACTTGATTTTTTGTACCTGACAACATAAGTCTTTTCCATACTGTAAAACTCATGGCAATGCTCTGGGGCAGGGTCGGGCGGCTCCTGAGGGTGTCTGAGACTGGAACTCTTTATGGGCGTAGGAAGCCTCGTCTTTCTCCCCAGGAGGGGCTAATGATTTCAAACTCCTTCCTGACCGCGAGGCCAGCAAGCTAGCATGTAACCATTGTCTTACCTGGACTGCCCTGAGTCCGAATTGACTGACAGCTGGAGAGCTTCATTTTGGTTATACTATAAAAACCTTCTTAAATATCCTTTAATGGTAGAATGACACTCCATTTTAAGGATATTCCAAAATTTCCTTAATTCTTCCTCTACAGATTATCACTTAGGACGTTCCTGTGAGTTTTCTCAAAACAGAATCGGCTTTTGCTATAGGGCCAAGGTTATGGCAAAAGGCAGAATAGTCAAGGCAGATTTACTGCCCCTGAACCCACCCCTGTGCAGGAAGCATGCGAACTTTTCCTAGTGATCCTTTAACTGTTCTCCTCTCTTCCTCATATGCATCTTTAAATTGTTAGAGCCTATGTGTCCTTTACTGTAATTACATAATAGTAATGATCACCATGTGAGTAGATACAAGAGGTACCAGGAAAGATAACTTCCTTGTAATTATACCCAACATTGCTAGCAATTTCAAACTGGAAACCATGATGTTTCTCGATATTTATGACAACCACACTTCCACTGTCCAAAGGTCACGAGAAGCCCCTGAGATTGCAAGATTTTCAAACCTAACTCCAGTCCTGCTCTGCCTTCTTCATAAAGACAGCAGGCCTCTGGTGCACCTTACCTGGTTCCGTGCTGGGCACCTGGAGCTGTTTCCCACTCTCCACATCCTCCACGCCTTGGGCTGAGATGGAGTAGGGCCGACTGGCTTTGTTCTTAAAGATGATGAGGATGGAATCGCCCACCTCTGCGTGAATCATTGGGCCTAGAAGCAAAACACAGATTCGTGTGCATCATCGTCATTCTCTCAAACGTCACAGAATTTAAATGCAGTTTCCGAAATAAAACAAAGGCTGGGTGCTTCTTCCCTGTGCTTCCTTTACAGGGCAATATTGTACCAGGTTCAAATCCTGCCTCTTTCACTTAATAGAGAGGAACTCACATAATCTATCTGAAACTCAATTTCCTCAACTGTAAAATAAATTTTAGTAGTAGTGCCTTGCTTAGACAGTTATGTTATGGTATAAATTGGTTAATTGCATGCCTTAAAACAGTATGTCTTCAACATATGCTTAAAGTCATACAGCCGCTCTCGGCCGTAATCCCGTGTGTGTGACCTTTCAAACTCAAACTCACTGCCATCACGCTCATTCTGACGCATAGTGCCGCTACAGGACAGGGTAGCACTGCCCCTGGTGGGTTTCTGAGACTAACTCATTACAGGAGTAGAAAGCCTCATCTTTCTCCCAAGGAGCAGCTAGTGCTCGACTTTGCTGTTTGTTAGTAGCCCAACTTGTAACCCAAATGACCCGTGAGCTCACAAGTGAATATAATAAAACTAATTGATGGAATAGTGTGTGTGACAGGAATTGGGGGGCTAAGAGTGAAGTGAAAACATATTTGTGTCGGGAAATAAAGACCGTGATTTCACCACATGTCTAACTAGCACTGTCTCTCCGTACTCGGACACCTTGTGGAGGCAGAGGAGTTCTCAAGAGTGCGTGTTTGCATTCGAACTGACAGCATGCACCACTCGAGCAGGAGAGGGTCTTGCCCACAGGACTATGGGACTTTTGCCCCAGGGCAGAGCTTCCCACTGGGGTGGGAGCATTGGCTACTGCCGACAGTAAGAAGGGTTAGGACTCTTATGTTGGATGTACATCAGGCCAAATCCCTAAGTTTCTGTCTTAGCATTTGCTACATTCTACAGTCATGCCAAGGAGCCTGGGGGCACAGTGGCTTGGCAACTAACCAAAAGGTTGATGGTTGAACCTATCATCCGATCACGGGAGAAAAACGAGGCAGTCTGCTCCCCTGGAGATGGGCAGCCTCGGCAGCACCAGAGAGCAGCTGCCTCCCGTCCTGCAGGCTCTGTGTGTATCAGAATAGGGTCACATGCACTCCACTTGCTGTCGAATCAACCCTGGCCCATGGCCACTTCCAGGTGTGTCCCAGGAGAACCGCTTCTCAGGGTTTCCAATGGCTGAGTTTTGGAAATGAGACCTCCAGGCCTGTCTTGGGAGGCACTTCTGGGTGGGTTCAGGCCAGCAGGCGATTACTACCAATGAATCAGCATCTTATCCATGGCAATTAACAACAGCTTAATCTCTTTGGAAGATGATATTTAGTGTGAATCAGAATGCTTTGGTAAATCAGTTGTCGAATAAGTGATGAAGAGAGCTAAGAAAATTCTCTCCATGTTTTTCCACAGTACATTTGGGTGGAGTAGCAGATAGACGCAGGCGTGTGACTATATTAAAATGCGTCTTTGTGTCCTCATTCTCACTTGTGCTGGCAAAAGCACTAGCTTATAGCACAGCAGGCTGTGGGGAGCAGTCACGAACAGAGCCGCACATACACCGTGTCCTCCGAGCCACTGCACAAGCCAGGCGTCTCCCCAGCCACTGAAAGTGGGTGGTTGGAACCCAGGCTTCCTGGGGCCTCCAGCTGATGGGTTTGCCTCTAATAAAGCCATTCTGCCTGTGTCATCTTACGGAGCAGATCCAAATCATGACTCTTTTGGGGTGCAGCCCAACCACTTAGGGAGACAGGTTCTTTAATCTTCAGATTAAATCTTCTTTATTCTTCAGAGCATTGGTGATGCACACACATTACACACACACACACACCATGCTAATAATGAGAGAATGTTCCTATCCATGCTAGATTACCCAATACTCAAGGTAAGCACAGGCTTGCTCATGCTTATTTGCTAATCTGTAGGGAACAATTTCATGATATTTTCACCACCTTGAAGATTCTGCTCCTGGGTCTGGCTGGCATCTGTCCGTCTCCCAGCTCCCCAGCAGCTTCCTGCAGATTCACAGCCTCTTTTACAGAGTACCCAGCAAAGCAAGGTAAGCACAGGCCAGCCTGTGCTTGTTTACTCATATGGAGAGACCAATTTCACATAAGTCTCACCACAGATCATCCGTGGAATTGCTCACCGCTGAACAGTAACTAAGCACAAGAAAGCCCAAAGCTTACCTTGCTTAATGGGTAGTCCTCCCTTGGTTCCCACTGGGGCTGACTCATGGGTGAGACAAGCAAGCTGGTGGGTAAGTGATGATAGGCAGGGGAGGTTTGGGGGTAGAGTGGTTAGATGAGGCATTTAATAATTTATCAAGAATCAACTACCTTGAAGTAGACGAACCAGTCAGGGTGCAGTGTAGCAATGATGAAACATACAACTTTCCTCTAGTTCCTAAATGCTTCCCAACCCCCACCCCCACCCCACTATCATGATCCTAATTCTACCTTACAAATCTGTCTAGACCAGAGGATGTACACTGGTACAGATAGGGACTTGAAGCACAGGGAATCCAGGACGGATGATACCTTCAGGACCAGTGGTGAGAGTGGTGATACCGGGAGGAGGGTGGAGGGAGGGTGGGGTGGAAAGGGGGAACTGATTACAAGGATCTACATAAAACCTCCTCCCTGGAGGACGGACAACAGAAAAGTGAGTGAAGGGAGACATCGGACAGTGTAAGATATGACAAAATAATAATTTATAAATTACCAAGGGTTCATGAGGGAGGGGGAAGTGGGAAGGGAGAGGGAAAAAAATGAGTTGATACCCGGGGCTCAGGTAGAAGGCAAATGTTTTGAGAATGATGATGGCAACAAATGTACAAATGTACTTGACACAATGGATGGATGTATGGATTGTGATAAGAATAGTACGAGCTCCCCAAGAATGATTTTTTAAAAAAGAATCAACTACCTTATTTAATATTAAAAAACACCGTGTAAAGTCGTAACTATTGATATGCTGCCTCGGGCATCAAAAAGCAGGAAAGGCTTTCAAAGCCCCCTGCCTCAGGGCAGCATCTTCATGATGGTCTGGCAGCTCCCAGGGGGCAGAAAATCAGGGAAGGAGAACAGACAAAGGCTTATTATCTACTGGTCACGGCCCAGGCAACTCAGGGCATCAGCCAGCCTAGGGGCTGCACCGAGCCAAGCCCAGGGGGCTTTGAGAAGGGCGCAAGCCAGGGCCTGCAGAACCGGAACCAGACCTTTGGCCTTGGGCCTCCCTCTGGGTAAGGAGTTCCTCCTTGGTCAGATTATCTTTATGGCATGTCATAGGGCACTGTGCATAGATCATCCGGGCTCTTGAAGAAGTGGCACAGACACTCTGCTTGCTGTTCTGAGGCACTGAATGTTTAACATTAGAGTTTCCTGGCTCAGCCGAGGAATGCTGGAGAAAGATCTGCAGACTAATAGATCCGGTTAGACTGCTCTGATGGTTTCGATCCTTGCCTGTGTGCAAAATTTAGTAGTTTTACCATGACTCCTATTTGATATGAGGAGTTCCTGGGCAGTGCCAAGGGTTAACGCACTCGGCTACTAACCAAAAGCTTGGGGGTTCGAGTCTACCCAGGGGCACCAGAGAGAAATCCCCAGCGATCGACCCCGCCCCCAAACAGCCATGGAGACCCCTATGGCGTGCAATTCTACTCAGACACCCAAGGGGTCCCGTTTGGTGGGGCGGGCAATCCACTGGATCGACACGCTGCAGGGCCCCTGCTAATGAAGAGCGGAGGGCACCCCGATATATACAGCTGGGCCACCGGGCTCCTGCCGTCCCTTGCACACGTGCGAGCCGGTGGTGACCCCTGCGCCGTACCCAGGAGCTCTAAGTGCTGCTCGCGGGGCCGCCGGGCCTTGATCTCCACAAATTCTCCGTTGGTGTATTCCCTGTAAACCACCTTCTTGTACTGAGAGCCGATCCAATTTTCCGTGTGGTTCATAAATATGTCTCCATGCCTGCAAATCAGAGCAGAAGGAATTGAGGGTGTTAGAAGGGGGAAGGAGGGATTTGGTGTACTCTGAAGTTCCCTGCTTTTCCAGAGCTCCCCTCGCCTGGCTGTGGGCAGGGTCTCACTGGGGAACTGACCTTTTGCGTGACTTTTCTCTCTGGTAAGAGAGTCTGGAGTCTGCATTTCAAAGCTTGGGAGGGAGGGGGTGCAAAGGGGCCCTGGTGGTGCTGCCGGTTAAGCGTTGGACTGTTAACCTCAAGGCCAGTGGTTCAAACCCACCAGCAACATTGTGGGACACAAGTCAGGCTATCTCACCTCCCAAAGCGCTGCAGCCTCAGAAGCCCTGACAGAGAGTCATTGTGAGTCCGAAGTGACTCGTGGCAATCACGTGGACGGATGGCAGTGCTTCCCAAACTCACTGCCACGGAGATGATGCCGACTCATTTCTGACAGGTCGATTCTCTATCGGGCAGAGTAGACATTGGAGTTCCCAAGGATGCAGAAAGCCCTATTGTTCTCTCTTGGAGTAACTTGTGGGTTTGAACCGCTGACCTCTTAGCCGCCCAACTTGTAACCTACTTGTGCGCCACCAGGACTCATGTCTTCTCTGACAAGGCTTGCACAACGCAGAAAGAGTGGGTGCTCAGTAGATGGTTATTGTCACGAGCCCAGGAGCGTGAACGTCCAGGCGCATCAGTCCACGTGTCCAGGAGGAGTAGCAATAGCACTGTTTTCCTACAGCAACTTCAGGTTTGCTTTCCAATCCCATCTCCCTGAGTGACTCCTGCCTGGCCTCGTGTGGACGACTGTTTGTGTTGCAGCTGAGATTCTCAGGCCTCCGGTGTGTTCCTAGGACTTGGCACAGAAGATTTCTGGACCCCAGGGGTAGGCAGAGGGCC